ACATGCTAATTCATTTATACCCTCTGGATTGACTTCGCCAATTCATTTTCAGCCCACTAACTCTTCTGACGTGAATTATATTATCACCTCCAGAATGGCAGCCGGGAAATACAACAGCAGGGTGGGTGGGTGGGTAGGGGGAGGAGCTGCCCTTTGACCCTTCAGACGGCCCTGGGAGGGTGGGGTGGGGTGGGGTGGGGTGGGAAAACCTGAGCTGGAACTGTGGCAGAAGAATAGGACCAACCTCCCCTGTCTGCTCCTCAAATCACCTGCCAAGGTTTGGGTCATCTGCTGGGATGGATACCGCAGTTGCCTTCAGAGGAAGCCGGTTGAAAATTAAAGGGGAGCACCAAGAGTCGGAGGGAATGGCGGTGGAATTTGGCCTGGCTGGTCTCCCCAATCGAAAATGATGGTGGTTGAAGCTTTCAAAGGGAGCGATAGAAGTTTCCAAAGGACTTGGTGGGAAAAAATCTTTTTTTCTTTCTTTTTCTTTTTTTTCTTTCTTTTCCTCTTTCTTTCTTCCTTCTCTTTCTTTTTCTTTCTTTTCCTCTTTCTTTCTTCCTTCTCTTTCTTTTTCTTTCTTTCTTTTCTTCCTTCTCTCTTTCTTTTTCTTTCTTTCTTTCCCTTTCTTTTAGACGGTTCCTTGTCATGGCTTCCTTTGACTTCAAAGTCCTTGCTGAAGGAAACGGATAACGCAGCTGAGCGTGCTGCTTTCTTTAAATGCCTTCATTCCACTCTCTCAAACTTGGGCTATTAATTCATATTGTTTGATCAAGACTGGTTAATTAAGTGACTCCCTTGATACGGGCTTTAGCCATGTTTCATTTATGTGTTTTACTCTTGACATCCATCAAACTTCCACAGGGGTCCTTCGGAGAGTCCCCCTCTATTTGTCCCACCCCATACTTGGAGGTCTTTCCTGGGGCCTCCAGAAAGCTCTGCCAGGACAGGCGAGTGGAGAAATTCCTTCAAGTTACTCCTAGGATGATGACTGACTGGCTTGGCTAAATAAGCAGGTTTGTGCAATCTCTGGCTTGAGTATGTGTGTGTGTGTGTGTGTGTGTGTGTGTGTGTGTGTGTGTGTGTGTGTGTGTGTGTGTGTGTGTGTATATATATATATATATATATATATATATATATATATATATATATATATATATATATATATATATACTTAAATAAGCAAATAACCATGGGTCTGCAAAATGTCCTGCCTCCCCTTTCTTAGAACTTTGCACAATCTTTTATTTGCACAATCTTTTATTTTATTTTTTTTAAAGTTTACTCCGAACATACTTGATTTAAAGGGCAGAAAGGGCCTCTAAGAATGTATGCCAGAAGATACGATGAAACGCTGGTTCCTATTTTGTGCATTGTCCCCCCAAAAAATTACTCCTACTTTGGAACAAAAGCTCAGCTCCGGCAGTGAGAACAGGGACTCTCCGCCTCGTGCCGACTGGGGAATGCTGGGAATTGAAGTCCAGACCTCCAGCTGCCAAGGTGGAGAAACCCAGCTCTACGTTTTCCTTGCTACCGTCTTGCCAAACGGTTCTATAAAAAGAAGCAGGAGGACAAGAAGTGAGGCGCACAAGCCAAAACTGGCCCTCCATTGTCTGTTCTCCAGANTGCCAACTCCGGGAAAAGTCTCCGTGTTCTTCTGCAGAAGATCGACATTGAGAGCTTTCATCTTGACCACATACCTAGGACAGGGCTGGCCTTTGAAGCGTTGCTTCTCCAGCTCTGCTCACGTCATCCGTTCTTCTGCTAGATGTATCTGAGCCAGGACGCATCACCGTTCTCCTCAACTCTATCCACAGATAAGCTACCAAGATCCTTCTGACTGTTTTTGGCCAGGTCTGAAAGGCATTGACTGGGTTATCTAACCCAACAACATCTGCTATCCCATCAGTTTGGGGATCCTATTCTATAGGGGGATTATTTCTGAAGACCCTCAAGTCAACATCAGTGAGGAGATGGGGATAACCATGAACGAAGAAGCTTCACCAGCCTTGATCCCAGGAAGGAGATAAATTATTGGTCTGGATGTAGGGGGTACATCCAGATAACTTTGCTGCCTTCTGGACTACGCAGCCTATATCCAGCAGCTCAAGATAAGTGGAGACGTTGCAAAATGGCCCAATCCGTCAACTGAAGGAGGAGAAGTTTAGTGTTTGGGGCAACAGTAGGTATGGAGCAAATAGGAGTTGCAAAAGATCTTCTGAACCAGATTGCTCCTTTTAAAGCACCACAAAAGATCCACGATCTGCTCCATGCCGGGAACAATTGGACTTATTACACTTGGACACAGCAGCTAAATTCAGGCCCAGACCCAAATATCTACATGCACCCTCCTATGTGCAACTGAAAGCCTTTCCCAAATTCTTCCATCAACAGAATGGAAAGGACTTTCTTTTCAAAAAAAAGATTTAAAAAAAATGATGGTGGTGAATTTATAATTTTATCCGTCCAGTTTGACCTGGGAGCCTCCACTGATGTTTACTGTCCTGAAAATTTTGCGTCTGGAATATTCCCACTTAAACAACAAACAAAAACAAAAAAACCTATACTGCCAGGATGTGGTAATCCTGCCACTGAGCCACATTTGACGAGATAGAAACCCAAGATTTTTGTGTTGTTGTGAGGGTGCCTGGAAACCGACATTTTCCCTCCGCCGTCTGTCATTCCTGTGTTCTCTGCTCGCTTGCTGCTCATTCTAACTGCCGGCAATCAAATGGAATCGTAATCAATTCATTGCTAAATGTTTTATGTTGCGGAGGAAAAAGAGCATTGCTTAAATTGAAATGACACACTCGCACACATAAAACGAACACAAACAAAAGAAGGGCAAGAACGAAAGGCGGGGAGGAAGCATCTGCTGCTTCTCGCCTGCCAAGCGTTCCTTCTCCATTTTTTTTTTTATTTTTTGGCTAAAAACGGTCCTTAGCAGACTCCAGATCCTGGAAAAGCCCACCGGCCTCTCCCACCAACTCCAAAATCCTCAGAATAATGGGCAAGGGGCTTGGGTCATGCAGTCACCTTGCAAAGATGTGAAAGTTGAAAGAGGTTGGGTCAAAGTCTGAGGTTTCCTGGACTTCGTTGGGCTTGGTCCTCAGTTGGCCAGTTCCGTGAAGCTCCTGTCCCTTAAGGAAGTCTCCTGAACTCCTGCATTGGGTGCTTCTCTCATGGTCTAGGTCCATCATTCCAAGAACCTGGAGCTAGATTTTCCATCCTTCTGGCCCACCCAAGCCCTGTCAGTTGACTCAAAGGGAGCAATCTTTGAAGGCCAGGTTGTACAGAAGCCCTAATCTTCATGCCTGCTCCTCACCATCATCAGGTTCTCTGGATCTTCTGCCCCAAATGCCTGATTTGGTTTGCTCATGACCCTTGTCTGTTTCAGGTCGTGCACCAACTTCTGGATAAATATACCAGTTTCCAGTCTGATGTCTCCATGGTTTCCAGGTCAAGTCCACCTCTCTGCTGGTCCACCTTCATCTCATTAGGCTTCTGTGGTTCTCCTGGGGGTCAAGAGTCCTAAAAGGAGATGTTTTTCTCCTATCCAAAGCAGAATTTCACTCTAGTTATCCAGAGTTATCTCCAACTGCATCCTATTCGGTGTTTTCTCCCAGCTAAGTCCACCAAGACTGGTTTAAAAAGAGGTTGTGATCTACCTGGACTTCAGGGCAACTTTCTGAGTCAATTGTCTGGCAAGTTATTTCAAGTATTTCTCTCCTATCCTTAGCAACCGGGGCGCCGACCCCTCAAACATCTGAATAGGTTACCATTTTAATGAAAAAATGCTCCTGGTTATAAGAAATCTATTTCCTCCTGCTCATCCTCTTCCTTCTTCTTCTTAGCTTCCAAACGGTTTCTGCCTCGGGCTTCTGGACCACCCAGGAGATGACATCTAGGTTTTAGAAAAGGCACTGACATCCACCACCCCTTCCCTCGAAATTTGCAAATTGTCAGTCGTAAAACATTCTAGATTTATTATAATGTACAAAAGTAAAAAAAAAACAAAAAACACCAGTCCATTGGGATCATCCCGCAGGCCAGATTCTGGAGTAAATCTGGTGGCTGGGATTCTCCAAATCATGGAAATAGACGCACACGTGGCGATTGTGGTGATGATTTTTGAATGAAAATTCCTGAGAATTTCTCCCCCCCCCCCCAGAAGTCGCTGGCAAACAGGCCTGCTGAGAGCTACAGCGCCACCTAGTGTCCAGAAGGTGATTTCTCCCAGGGATGGCACCCAAATCCTTGGAAGGAGAGCAATGGAAAGAGATTTATTTATAGTAGGAAGGGAAGTTTTTCTCTTCTGGGCAAAATGAAATGGTACAGTCCTGGCAGGGGGAAAAAAATGGGGGGGCAGCCATATGTGCCAAATTCTCCTGCAGATGGGGGAAAAAAAAAGAATCCGTGCGAGGTCTTTGCTTCAAAGCTTTGTTTGAAGATGCTCAAACTGCACTTGGATTTTTGGCAAATTCCAAAAGGCAAAGAGGAGTGGCTGCATTCAGAGCCTATATTTCACCCCAGGGCTTTGCTCCCCACTATCCAAGCACGGCTAGATTTCCTGGGAGATCTGCTTCTGCTTCAATTCCCCCTCCACACACACACACACACCTCTTCGTGGAGCAGCTAAACCCCTTCTCCTCCTTGGAAACAAAGTTATCTGAACAGCAAATAGATCCGTCGTTTCAGGTGATGCAGCTCCTTAGGTTGCATCCCCTCCTGGATTCAGTTCTTGGTTTTCCATATTCCGAAAGAGCCAAATTTGTTTTTCCTTTTTTCATTGTCCTGGGGGCTGCGAGACACACCTGCGGGGAAGAAACACCTCCTTAAACCATCGATCAGTCATTACATGAGGGCTGCTGCTAAAGGTAGAATAGAATAGAAGCTGGAAGGGACCTTGGAGGTCTTCTAGTCCAGCCCCCTGCTCAAGCAGGAGAACCTATACTGTCTCAGACAGGTGGATGTCTAGTCTCTTCTTGAAAATCTCCAGTGATGGAGCGCCCAGTTCTGGACTTAACCGTTCCATTAGTGACTGTTCAAAGTTGCAACAGCCGTGAAAAAAGTTACAACGGTAGCATTAGGGCAAAAAGTAGCCTTGACCCAAATGGCTTAGTGCAGTGGTGGCGAACCTATGGCATGCGTGCCAGAGGCGGCACTCGGAGCCCTTTCTGTGGGCACGTGTGCCATGCCCCAGAGATGGCGAGGGACTGGCCCTTGCCGTCCTGGCCCCACCCACCCACTCTGCCATGACCACCGCAGCAATGCCCACCCGGCACCCAGTGATAAATAAGTGGGTCTTAGGTTGCAGTTTGGGCACTGGGTCTCTAAAAGGTTCGCCATCCCTGGCTTAGTGTGATCTACCTTGTAGGGTTGAGACTCACCAAACTTCTTGATCATGTCAACGAACATCTCATCTTCTTCCAGCTCCCTACGGAAGGAAGCAGAGCAGCTAGTCCAACACCTGGAACAGGACGAGCACTCCAGATGTTGAACTAAAAGCTTCGGGAGAAAGGAGAGCCCCGCCCCTGCCAGATGCACAAATAGCTTCCTGGTACGGTGTCTGCGGCCTCGGCCCAGTGAGCCCACCTTCACAATTAGCAACGCAACTGCAGCCAGAAAGTACCGACAATCAGCCCTAATTACTCCAAGACACTTGCCAAAAAGCCAGACCTGTGAACCTCGTTTGGCAGAAAGGAGCTGCTCAGGTTTCTCAGGAGGGCTCTTGACCCCCCCCTTTGAAAGGCCTAAGGCCAGGAAGGTCCTTTTTCGAGGTAACTACTTCTGAAGGAAACGGGAAAATTGCAAACGGCAAGGCAAGCGATAGCTTCCTTCAGCCAAGTTCCCCAACCTGGGCAGGTTGAAAGACGTGTGGACTTCAAATCCCAGAATTCGCCAGCCTACCTTGCTGGGAAACCGAGGGCTGGGCAAGGGCTGTCCCTCCAGTCCCCCTGCCTTCCTCCACCCCTTCGTACCTGAGTCTGTCCTCATCCAGGTCTTCGACGATTTTGTTCCGATTGTTGACCGTGTCCAAGTACGAGTCGAGAAGTTCCTTCTCCCGAGCCTTCTCCTTCGCGGTCTTCAAGTTATCTGGGCGGCAGGGGAAGGACCAGAGTTATATGTTAAAGAAATAAATCACAACACAAAACAAAACAATGGAAGGCTCTCCCAAGGGTTGTGTTGTGTTAAGATAACCGTGGATGACCTTGGAGGGAAGATTCAGGAATGGTTAAGAGAAAGGAGGACAGAAGAAGTTCTGAAGTTCTGGAAAAGGGGGTCCTGCTAAGGAAAAGGCCAGGTTGGATCAAAAAGTTCAACTTTTTGCCTAAAAACACCTGCCAATAATCCCTTCCTTCCTTCCTTTCCTTCCTTCCTTCCTTCCTTCCTTCCTTCCTTCCTTCCTTCCTTCCTTCCTTCCTCCCTTTCTTTCCTTCCTTCCTTCCTTCCTTCCTTCCTCCCTCTTTCTTTCCTTCCTTCCTTCCTTTCTTTCTCCCTCCCTTTCTTTCCTTTCTTCTTTTCTTTCTTTTTTCCTTCCTTCCTTCCTTCTTTCTTTCTTTCTTTCTTTCTTTCTTCCTTTCTTTCAGTTTTTATAAACACCTGCTGGGATGCACCAGGCCCTTCACCACCACAAAAGGGATGAAACCACAAAAGGGAGTCAGCATCAGAGTCGGTGGAAGGCAAGCTTGCTTTCCTTGTGGGGCCTCTATTTTACCTTCAAGATAATGGGCTTAAACTGGGATGGGATCTGTATATCTGTTTCTCTTTCCTTGTTCTCCACTGAGCTTCCTGGCACATTTGCTGTGTTGTAAAATAGGTTGGAGAAGGTGGAGAGAAAAAAATGGAAGTTCTTCCCAGCTGGAGGAATCATAACCATGAAGCATGCCAAGAAGAGGAGGGATGGGAGACTCACCAGCTTTGCTGATGAGACTCCGAAGTTCGGTCTCAATGTCCCACTGCTTTACTTCCAGTTTCTGCTGGTTTATCCTGCAGGAGAGAAGCGTTACTTTAAGGGATCCAGATTCGCACGTGGGGCCGGTCCAAAGTTTTGGAGCCCTCCTGAAGTGATAGCTGGAAGGATTCTACGACATCTTTTTCTTATTATTATTATTATTTTGAGTAGAATTTTACCATACAATAAAAATAATTTCAAAAAAAGGGAAGAAAAATACAGGGCAGCAGAAAAGATAAGAAATAAGAAAAGATATTTTTAAAATTGGGGGGGAAGGAAGGAAAGCATTCCTGTTTCAAACAACTTTCTATCAAAGAATAGGGGCCGTGAAGGAAAAGAAACACATGCTTGCTTAGCGGCCACAAGGGATAGGCAACTTGGTCGTAAAGCGAAATGGCTGCTAAGCAAAACCACAAGTCTACTTATGACTTCAGCTTTCCGTTGCTTTACAGGTCTGCAAAAGTCATAAATGAGAGGACTGCTCGTAAAGCTACTTTTTTTCGCTGTCGTAACTGCAAACGGTCGATAATTAAGAGTCGCTAAATGAGGACTGCAAACGGTCAATAAACAAGAAAGTCACCAAAGGAGAACTACCTGTCACGACCTGTTGGGTTTAAAAAGGGAGCCCAAATCCTACCCTAGTCGGCAACTGGCTGCCCAGGTGCCCTGAACCGGCCACTTTGCTTGCCCCATCCAGTTCCACTCACTTGTGCATCAATTCGGATTCCCGTCTCAGCAAGAGCTGCTTCTCGTGGATCAGTTTGAACCATTCCACCATCAGGGCATCTTCGGAATCGTCTGTGTACAAGATCCGAGAAAGAGGTCAAATGAGGCACCATCCGCCACAAAGAACCACAGACAGACCCTGTAAGGTAGGCCAGGTGGGAAAATAACCCAGCACCCGCCTCTACAGAAGAAAAATCGCCTAACTTGGAAAACTTCCCTTAATCTTGTTTGTTATTAAAGAAGAAAAAAGAAGCCACGTATTCTAGCCTTCCGGGTCTCCATAAGGACTAGAAACCTGGACCTTGGGCAAACCTTTTTTTTTCAAAAGAAGACCAGAAAGCACCATCTTTGGGCTGTTGTCAGTTTGGCAAGGACCCCCTCACCTCCCTCGCAAGCCCGCAGCTGTTTCTCCAAGGTGATCCCCTTCTGCTCCAGCTTGTCCAGATCTCTTTCGATCTGCCGGATTTCTTTCCGGATCTCTTCCTCGGGGATGTAATCCGGGTGGAGCTGAAAGGCATCAAAGAGTTAAAGGCATCTGATTCGCCACCCTGAGGCTCAGGGCGGTTTGGCATCCCGACAATCCTGCAAGGTAGGCCGGCAGCTCGGCTTGAATCCATAGCCTACCTTGGTGGGAGAGACGGCTTGATCACCCGGATGCTTCCAGAAGGTTCCCGGAGACGACGGCTGGGCTGAAAACGAAGAGGGAAAGGTTCAGTTGCTGTCCGACGGCCTTCCAGATGTTGCTGAACTACAATTCCCAGCGTCCCTCAGCAATGGCCCTCCTAGCTGGGGCTGATGAGAACGGTAGTACAGCAGTGTCAGATACTCAAGAGTCTAATGGAAACGATGAGAGAAACTGACCGGCCGCAACCACTGTTTTCGAGGGACTCCATTTCTCTGCTTTGGCAGTGGCTGGCTGAGATTCCCACGGCAGCTTCTCTTTCTGCCAGCTGATGGAGGCATCCAGCTGTGGCACCAACAGCTTCTTCTTCGGGAGCTGGACAGCCAGCGGTGCTATGATGGAAACAAAAAGGAGAGAAAACCCAATTTATGAGCGTGGACTTGAGTTCCGATTCAGCTTTCAGCCATCCCGATGGGCGAGATCCTTCTCAAGGAGGATGTGCCCAGGAGAGGACAAAGTTACCACAGGTCGGGCCCAATCAGGCAAGCCGAAATAGAGAAAACTGAGCAATCGGGAGTTCTCTCCCCTTCATGAGGACTAGCGTCTTGCTTGAAAGGCTTTGAAAGCCCAAAGGGGAAAAAACTGCCAGTTTTTTTCCTATGGGAATTACCCAGATCCTGTCAAAGCACAGTTAGTCATACCAGAGTTAGGAGCTGCCGGGGAGATGACCAAAAGAGGCGGCTTTTTGTCGTTTTGTCCAGGTTTCACCTCTATGTTGATCAACACTTTGTGAACATCGGCAGGTTTTGGAGACGGCTTGGCTGCGTCCTGATGGGGGGGTCTGCAGAAAAGGAGAGAGGCCGTTAGCACAGGCCCTAACCAACATTTTGGGCCAAGGCAGGCAGAATTTGGCAGTCCCATACTGGACTCTGCAAATCAAATCACATGTAGCATTAGAACCGCTTTATAAATCCTTAGTAAGGTCACATCTGGAATAACTGCATCCAATTTTGGTCACCACATTGCAAAAAAGATGTTGAGACTTTGGAAAAATTGCAAAGAAGAGCAACTAAGATGATTAAAGGCCTGGAGACTAAAACATACGAAGAACGGTTGCAGGATTTGGGAATGGCCAGTCTAGAGAAAAGACGGATTTAGGGGGGACATGACAGCAGACTTCCAGTATTTGAGGGGCTGCCACAAAGAGGAGGGGGGGTCAACTTGTTTTCCAAAGCACCAGAAGGCAGGACAAAAAACAACGGATGGAAACCAATCAAGGAGAGAAGCAACCAGGAATTAAGGAGAAACTTCCTAACAGTGAGGACAATTAACCAGTGGAACTGCTTGCCACCAGAAGTTGTGGATGTTCCATCACTGGAGGTTTTTAAGAAGAGATTGGACAGTCACCTGTCTGAAATGGTCTAGGGCAGACATGTCAAACATGCGACGTCACGTGACGTCGCGCAACGTTATCAGGACTGTTTTGCCATTGCCGGCAATGGGGTGGCGCCCGCGGCTTCTGTGTGACGCGTCTGGCCTGTGGGTCGGCAGTTTGACACCCCTGGTCTAGGGTCTCCTGCTTGAGCAGGGGGCTGGACTACAAGACCTCCAAGGTCCCTTCCAGTTCTATTCTACCCCTTAGATTTTGCTTTCCTTCTTTTTAGCACTCACTTGACTGGCTTCAGCTTCGCTCTCCAGTCTTCTGGATTCTCCAATTTCTCTTCTGCCCCACTGACGTTTTTCACTGAATGAGAAACACGCAAAGGAGGGTGAAGCATAAACCAGCATTCAAGGTTTGCCTCCTCCTCCTCCTCCTCCTCCTCCTCCTCCTCCTCCCGAATCCCAACCATCATGTGGAGTGAGTGAATTAGGGAGTGGGTGTGCAAACATGCCGATTCTGCAAAATTGTGCTTGTAAGTATGCAGTTTATAGAACCAAAATCTTTGAGATTTGTTGATTTATTTTTTTTAAAAAAGGGTAGAATTGGATTTCTCGGCTGCCTCCATCCATCCCATCCCATGGCTGGCTGGGGAATTCTGGGAGTTGAAGCCCACCCATCTTAACGTTGCCCAGATTGAGAATCCCCGGTTTAAACATTAACTAGGATTGAGACCATTCAATTGACTCTCTTTGATCGGGGATTCAAGTCAGGATGTGACACCCAACTCATCACAGGCACCTGGATGGCTGCTTCCTACCTTTAACCACCACCTTGGTGTCCAATTTACGTCCAGTGTGGGCCAATGTGGCAATGGACCCATCCTTGACTTTGCTCTGGGGCTCAGCTCCAACCTCCACTTTGTGGCTAGGATCCTTGGGGAGATTCCTGACCCAATGGGGTGTTTCTGCCCCTCTTTCAGCGTCTGCGAAAGCTGGCTTGTTAAAGGCTTTGCTAGCTGGAGGATTCTGGGGTTGCAGACCCCGCGAACTGGAGAGGGCAGGAGAAGATGGGTTGCTGGAAAGAAAAGATGGTTACTAGCTTCTTGGCTGAATTAAGAAGACACAGAACCTGGCCGTCTTGGAAGCATGGGAACCGAGTTCCGAAACCGCCCTCTTCCAGCATATACATTTAATAAAGAAATAAAATCATAATCCACAGATTCCCTACCAAACCAATTTGTAAGAGGTAAAGTTGCACTTTTGACCATTCCGGGGTGTGTCGGCCCACAAACACCCCTCTTTGCAAACTCAAATCTGCAATTTAAGGAGACCCAGTTTGGTCCAGTGCTGAAGGCACCAAACTAAAAAGCAGGAGATGGTGAGTTCTAGTTCTGCTTTAGCCACGAAAGCCATCTGTAACTTTGGGCCAGGAGACGGCGAGTTCTAGTCTAGTCTAGTTCTAGCCTTAGCCACGAAAGCCAACTGGGTGACTTTGGGCCAATCACCAGGAGACGGTGAGTTCTAGTCCCACCTTAACTGTGAAAGCTGGATGGGTGACCGAGTCAATCACCGGGAGACAGTGAGTTCTAGTCTAGTCTAATTCTAGCCTTAGCCAGGAAAGCTGCCTAGAAGGCAATGAGTTCTAGTCCTGCCTTAACTGTGAAAGCCGGCTGGGTGATTTTGAGTCAATCACCAAGAGATGGTGAGTTCTAGTCCCGCCTTAGCCATGAAAGCCACCTGGGTGACGTTGGGTCAATTATTCTCTCTCAGCCCAACCTACCTCACAGGGTTGTGGTGGGAAAAATAGGAGGAATTTTTTGCCACCTGGAGTTATTTGTAAGAATAATAAAAAGCCAGAATACAAGTAAGTACAGTAAATGCCAGTGGAACACCGAAGGCTCACCTGTTGTAAGCCAAAGATCGGGGCACCGCAGCGCTGCTAACCCCTCCCGGCTGGCTGGCCGAGGGCTGCGGTCCCGGTAAGAAGCGCTGAAGGATGCTCCGTGCTTCGTCTTTCTTGCTGTCACTGGTGCTGTTGATGCTGATGCTGACCGGGAGCTGAGTTCGAGAGAGGGGTGTTTTCTCAGGGACCTGGGTAGGCTGGACAGGAGAGCTGCTGTGATTTCTCGCCGGTTCAGGTTTTCGCGCAGGGAAGCCAGAAGAGGCTGGATCAGCCTGGAAGAATTTCTCCCGAGCCTGCTGGATCCTGGAGCGCACCTCCGTCGAAGAGGAAGCCACGGGGGGATCCGCACTCGGGGCAGGAGGGTGCGAGCGAGACAGACTCGGGCTTGTGGAGACCCTGCCGGTTTTAGGACTCCAGGAATTGGGTGGTGGCTGAGGGGCTGCTGGTTGGGGGGTCACGTGGTTTTGGAAGACCCTACGTGGTTTGGGCACTGGGGATGCTGCCTGCGGCAGTTCCAGCCCCTTCCCAGAGTTCCCTGAGGGGGTCTTGGAAGTGGTGGTGGTCTTCTTCTCCGCCCTGCTCTCCTGGGCAGAAGGAACCTGGGCAGGTGCAGCCCCTGCGTGTCGGTTACAAACGAAGGTGCCCGGGCTAAGCCCAGCTTGGTAGTTTCCTCTTTGTAAAGTGCTGGAACATTTTTTGCACCTGGAAGCAAAAGTTTGGACCAAACGTGACCATCTAAGAGGGGGATCAGATTGGCTGGCTGGGAATTCTGGGAGTTGAAGTCCGCCCGTCTTAAAGTGGGTAAGGCGGAGAAAGACTGGGCCAGAGTGGACTTTACAGACAACCCAATCCTTGCGGCATCCTTACCCCTCCCCGAGCCAGACCCCTGAAGCACGGCCTAGGGGGCAAGGCCAGCTCCCGGTCGACTCCTCCAGAGGCCCATACCTAAAGCAATTCCTGTGATACAGTTTCCCGTCCATCAGGAGGCGCTGGACCAAGTGCACATGAGTTCCGCAGATGGCACAGTTGCTGGGTTGTGTATTGTTCTTCTCGACTAAGACCCGTCTCTGGAGGGAGAGGACACAGGCACAAGGGGATTCAAAAGGAGCCCCCCCTCCTCCATCAAGCCCAAGACCCTTCTAGCCCCCTCCCCTGTTTTGCAGGGCACACCCTCCCTTCTCTGTTCCCATTAGCTTAGCCTCGCATTCATGACCGGTGGCGTCATCCTGCAATCATACCATCACAATTTGCAACTTTTTTGGGCCAATTTCCGGTAAAAAACGCCCATTGGGAGAAAGTGGATTCATTTAACGATGGCGCGATTCGTTTAACGGCCAAGGGGAACTCGCTTTACAACCATTGTAAAAACGGTTGTGAAATCGGGTTCAGTCACATGGTGACTTGACTTACCACGGCAACGACGTACAATGGAAATTCCAGTCCCTACTTTGGCCGTAAGTCAACAATTACTTATATGTGATTAATAATCCTCTGGTGTGCCAACCAAGCCACTGGTCTATTAAAATATTGTGTTATGGGTTCAAAAAGGGTGAGAAGCACCGATTGAGAGGATTAGAGTCCTCCTCCCTTAGCCGCCATTATTCTAAGATACACTCTGCTGATCCATGGAGGTTCTGTTCTGAAATACCCCGGTGTCATAAACACAGAGAGAGAGAGTCAGCCTCCAGGACAAAAGGGGTGGTGTTTCGTACTTCGACTGCCTGAGGGGAGTCCATCGCCAGCCTCCGCCCCACCACAGCTGGTTCTGCTTTGGGTTCAAGAAAAGGCGGCCTTGCTGGTTGCGTTGAGCTCGGGGCCCTCGGCTCAGGAACCCCTCTTTTCTCGGTCGGCTGCTCACTGGGTTGGGAAGCCGGACGCTTGATTCCAGCCATCCCTCCAACTGCAGAAAAGAAAAGAGAATTGAGCTGCCAAGGCTCTCATCGTATCAAAGACACATAAAAGGGCACGATTGGATATGTTAGTCCACAAAACTGGCACCAAATGCAATCTGATTTACCTGCCTTATGTTATTAAGGCTGATGATTGCTTACTGAGATAACCGTCTGGTTTTTTTTAATCAATGTTTCTTTTCCCAATTTAAAGAGGCATTCCTTCTTTCCTCTCTTCCCTCCTTCCCTCCCTGTTTCCTTTCTTCCTCCCTTCCCTCCCTTCCCTTCTCTTCCCTTCCCTTCCCCTCCAACTGTCTCAGCAATTACCACTCCAGTTTTGCTAGCCTCTAGTCCAGTGGTTCTCAACCTTTTTAATGCCGCGACCCCAACCGGTCGTAAGTCGAGGACTAAACCGGTCGTAAGTCAAGGACTAAACCGGTTGTAAGTCGAGGACTACCCAACCGGTTGTAAGTCGAGGACTTTCCCTGCCCGGGAGTGCCGCGCATGCGTGGTTCCGCCCCCTGCGCCGGCCGAGGCGTAGCTGGCAAGCGGCAGAGACGGAGCAGGTCGACCACCAGCTGGCCCAGCCCAAGGGAGGTAAGGCACCCGCCGGAAAAGGGGAAAAAACGGCGGACAAAAAAAATGGCGGACAGCCTTGCTTGGCGACCCCCGTGAAATGGTCGATCGACCCCAAATGGGGTCCCGACCCACAGGTTGAGAACCACTGCTCTAGTCCTTGGCTATCACACTGCCTCTACCCATAAAAGCTCCATTTCTAGCTATCCTGTCCATGGCTTATGTCAAGCTGGTTACATCTTGTGTGGGGCAGGGTGTGTTGTTGTTCTTTAATCCTTCCCATCCTCTAAAAGTCTTCAGAGGCCTCATAGGAGCCATCACAGCGTGGACAGGACTTCACCTCAGCCCAACACTCGGAAGGAGGGAGCGAGCGAGAAAGAGAGAGATACTCACTGGGCGACTTGCCGTGGAAGTAATTGTAATATTGGGAGACGTAAGTGAGGATGCTCAGCCGGTCGGGCACTTTAAGGGCCACCATATCTTCAGCGTCCAGCAAAGCCGGGATGCCCAGCTCCTTCTCAGCCACCCGGAAAGCCTGTGAGATGCGAAGAGAGAAGTGGAGTTGATGTCCTTCTCTTTAACCAAGCCGAGCAAGAGGAGATCCATGGCCAAAGGATTTTGCAGGACAACCAAATCTGTGACGAGTTCAGGTCCTGAATCCTGGTCTCCTAAGGGAAACCGTGACCTCGGAACAACCCCCTGCCAGAAAATCCATCCTCATCCCCTTGGCGGGGTCAAGAAACAAAGAAAGTGTTTTGCAACTTGTTTTCCACTAACTACACACTTTCTATCAAGATCACAGACTTTTGCCATGAACAGTGGACTGATGTGGCCTGGGAGACCCCAGAAGTCAACCTCGGTGTCAAGGAAAATTTTCACCGCAGGGTTAAGGCACCGTTCCACCAAACAGGAGGAAGCCTCCCTACTGGGAACGAAAGAGAAGCCGGCACGTGCAAATGGAATCCAGCGATAGAGAGGAGAGGCTGCCAAGTCTCCTAGTCCTCATAAAAAAGGCTCTTTGGTGTGGTTGAAAAAGAATCTCATCTCCAAGTCTGGCTCCAGGAGTTGAAGACCAGCCAGGCCACAGAAACTCAACGTGGAGGCCCAGCAACTTCACCAGGACATTCCATTCCTCCGGCCCTCAACCCACGCTCGGATTGTTGGACCCGGTGCGGAGACGATGGGTGGTCCAAGCCTGCTTCCTTCTCACAAACATCTGGGAGACTTTTCTTCCTGACAACAATTGGCTTTCCCAGGCACTCCACATCCAAGGATCTCCGGTTTCCAAAAAACAGAGTAAGGAAGGGGGATGGAGGAGGATCTGGTTTCTAGAGGGGGAACCTCTTTCAGCAGGCAGCCAGATTGGGACTGGCAAGAGGCGAAGGGGTGAAACGATGTGCATCTAAATCTGATCTCTGATTTCTCAGGGAGGATCACCGGAAATCGGATCTGCTTCGCAGGGTTGCAGGGAGGAGGGAAATAAAGGGAGGAGAATGACTAAGGCTGGCCTGCTATCCTCAGGAGAAGAGCAGGAGAGGATGGAGAGGGAGAGATGGAGATAGAGACTGAGACAGAGAGGTGGAGAGGTGGAGAAGATGGAAGTGGAGAGGTGGAGAGAGAGGGTGAAACAGAAACATGGAGATGGGAGAAGAAAGAAAGATGATGGAAATGAGGCAGAGGGGGATGGAGAGACTGAGACAGAGACTGAGAGAAGAGATAGATCGAGATGGATAGAGAGATGAAAATAGAGAGATATAGATAGATAGATAGATAGATAGATAGATAGATAGATAGATAGATAGATAGATAGATAGATAGATAGATGGATGGATGGATGGATGGATGGATGGATGGATGGATGGATGGATGGATGGATGGATGGATGCATCAAGACTCTGTAAAACCTGCATTCAAGAATTCAACTTCCATAAATCTGTTTCTGTATTCATACTGCCAGGTTTCACAACCTTCACTCCAAATTACATTTATGTATTTATTTACCTATCACTGTGGGCTTGTGGGCCACCTGGATGGAGCAAATCCTGGCCTGCAGAACTACGATATGCCTGGTGCACAAACCAAGACTAAGCTACCGTTCGGTAATCCCCAGCTATCATTCCACATCCACTCGGTCCAATCCAGATAAATAACAAATCAGATCAAGCCAGGCTTGTTGCCAAACGGGGTTCAGGAGGGCGACTGCTCTTGGTGCCTTTGGGCGGTCCAGACATTGACTGATCGGTCCTCATCCTCGGCCAACTTTCCCCCCCATTCAAATTGAGGGCGCTGGTAATCTGGGCAAACTGGTTTTTCCAGCCTCTGCCTTGAACTGAACGCGACTGAGTTCACTTACAAGATTAATCCACCTTTCCCTCCCCTCTTATTTTTAAGGTTTGATCTCTTTCTGCCAGACTTTGGGGTTCCTCCGCACCCTCAACCTGAAGCCCATCCACGTTCGGAGCGTCTCAAGGGCCCCAACTGCTCTACCAACACAGTTCAAGAACGCTGCAAACAAACAGAAAAAGCCCAGGGGAAAAAATTGAGTAATCCTACGCAAGAAATGCAAACTGCTAATATATATATATATATTTTTCTAAAGGAAAGTTAATGGGGTCGAGTATTTGTTTTATGATCTGTTTGTTCTGATCAAATCTACCTGAGGTCAAGGTGCTCAGGAGAAAGAAAGGGGAAGAAAAACAGCCTGGAGGGAAATGACGAGGAAGCGAAGGGGAGAGAAAAACCACCCTACCAATGCGTTGTTCTCGAAGACGTTTTCCTTGCTCAGGGAAGTGAAGTCTCTGAAACAGAAAGAAAAGCAAAAGTTATAGAGAAACAAGTAAGAACAGGCCAGGATTCCTTGCCCCACCATGTTGCCTGCCAGGCCAAACTCTCCCTCTAGCCAGTTTTTTCCCCATCAGAGCATGCAACATATTCTCAATGTTAAGATGTTTGTCCTAACATTCTACATAAGTCTGGAATTTACATTCCTTATGATGATGGAAGACAGTCTCGGTCAACAAAGATGATTAGGAGACTGGAGGATAAAACATAGGATGAACTGTTGCAGGAACAGGCTATGTCTCTAACAGAGAGAAGGACGAGGGGGGGACATGATAGCAATCTTCCAATATTTGAGGGGCTGCCACAAAGAAGAGGGGGGGTCAATCTATTCTCTAAAGCACCAGAAGGCAGAACAAGAAGCAACGGATGGAAACTGATCAAGGAGAGAAGCAACCTAGAACTAAGGAGAAATTTCCTGACAGTGAGGACAATAAACCAGTGGAACAACCTGCCTCTAGAAGTTGTGGGTGCTCCATCACTGGAGGCTTTTAAGAGATTGGACAGACACCGCTTGAGCAGTGGACTGGACTAGAAGACCTCCAAGATCCCTTCCAACTTTGTTATTCTATATTCTCTAAGTCTGAATGTTTTTTGAAGTTTAGACACAGTCCTCCAATCCTCGTAAACACCTGAAAATCTCTCCTGTAATAGTCGTGACCAAGTTCAGCTATCTCATCCTGCAGGAATCTACCTGCCCTTACACGGCTAGTTCAGGAAAAGGGATCCAATGTCAACTTCTAATTAACAATTCCACATGCCTGATGCAAGTTTCTAAGAACCAGATCTACCTTCTGGGAAATCTCATCCATCCACAAAATAAAAATAAAAATCAGGGTTTGGAAGACAATTGTACCCATATTCACAGCCGCCTCAAAGGGGTGCTTTTGCCAGTATCCCAAATCCCATCATGCAGGGAGAAACTGAACTGGCTAGCATTCTCTCTAACGTGAATCAAGCTATTAAAACCACCTTGAACCTGTGGCATTAAAATCTCTTTGGGTCAATAGAAGAAAGAAAAAAGATCCTGCTTCAGAGAATTGGGCAATGTAGGTCTTTTCTCTCCCCCCCCCCCCCCCCCCCCCC